TCTCTCTCTCTCTCTCTCTCGACAGACAGACAGACAGACAGACAGACAGACAGACAGACAGACAGACAGACAGACAGACAGACAGACAGACATTTTGTGAGTTAGAGGCGCAGTGATGAAGACGAGGGTTTAATGGTTGCTCCTCAGGGATCAGATAGCCTCCTTTTACTTCACGTCCAGAGAGGAGCTCTATCTCTGCATCTTTCTGCATCTCACGCATTACACTGACCACATCAGAACAGAAACACCAGAGCACCTAGGAGTCCGTATACATCTTTTTCAAAACCAAATAAGGGAGTAGTGAGCTTTTGAAATGACTGCAGAACCATAGAATCCAATCTACTTTATGACTTGGCACTGTATGTCTACATAACTGTTATATCTTGACTAATGATTTTTAGCATTATAAATTAATGGTTTGATTAATGAAATGTCATAAAATAGCGAAAAATGTCCATTTCAGGTTCTGAAAGTCTTTAATCCCAAAGGTATTCACTTTAAAATGAGACAAAACATCAAAAGCAAAAACATCCTCCATATTTAAGGATGCAAATAGCATTTAAAGACCTGTTTCTTACTTGAATTTTTATGTGAAATTACCTAAATATAAGTAAATATGACACGCTTTGATTATTGTGTGGTGCTTACAAAGAACTCCATTACCCAGAATACCTTGTTGACAAGTGGTAACCACAACTTCAAGTGAAGTAAGAGAGGAAAAACAAGTGGAGATGGGACGAGAAGATGAGAAGAAATGAAACACATTAGAGAGGGAATGCATGAGGAAAGATGGAGAGAAGGAATGTGAGGAGGAAGGAAGGGAAGAAGGGATCAGACGGCAAGAGGAGGAAAGAAACACTCGAGATAAACAGTGCTGGTCAAGAGGACCCTTCAGGAGTCGAGTGTTTGCCGCAGACATCACGGCTTTATTTAACTAAAGAGCACTTAACACTCTCTCTGCGTCGTCACGTACAACTTTATAAACTCTGACCCTATTCTGCTTTCATTCAAAGAGGATTTATGATCATTATCAGGTTCATATCAGTATGTAGTGTCACAATACAATACAATCACGGCAGCATTTAGTTTGGACAGTAGCTGCCGGGTCCCGCATGAGCTCAGACCCCTCCTTTTACATTTTTATAAAAAAAATATTTTTTTATTCCCCAAATCAGCACTTTTGAAACAGGAAGTGAAATAGAGGGATATGAGGCATGGCTAGAACGGGTGATCTGTCATATCTATGAAGTGTTTTTGAGCAAAACACTTCATAGACATATTTTTTATATATATTTCGATATATCTGAGACCTATGCTATTGCATAAAAATAGCAAGAGGTGACCTTTAAAAAACATCAAACTTGGCTCTGTGAAGTTGAGATTATAATTATTAAGTGTTTCATGGACTGAATGATTGTCAAAAAGACATACTATCTTCAAATGAATCTGTAATGAAAATATTCTAGATGTAACTCTACAAAATACTTTTATTTTGACAATTATGAAAACATTTCCACCATAAATTGATGTGGAAACGCTCTAATTGGCGTATACAAATCCACCAAAATAAAAAAAAAATGTGTTGGAAATGTTCCCCCTCCCACCATGTTGAGGCAAACTTACTACACTGCTTCACTACGCCAGTTCTAAAAGTGCTGTGCTCCATTTCCCTATGGCGAATGTTTTATTACATAAAACAGAATGAATGTTTTATGGCGTTAGAAGAGGCGGTCTTTGCTTCAGGTCAGGTGGTCCTCCTCTAAAAACGGGAATAATAAATGCTTTTATTTGTGCTTTGTGTCGAAGAAAAGTGTTTTCTAATTTGCTCTGTTACAGAAGTGTTAACTCAAGGAGACGTAATACCACATTAGTCCTTACTGAGGAAAAGGATCTGGCTTTTAGTGCAAGAACCCTGAACGCCTCAAATAAATTAGATCATAAATAGAAAGAATTTGTACTGTAAGAAGTCTTTAATGCGGTCAGTAGACTTTAGTTAGCATGGAGCCATAAAAACAGAAATAAAGTAGACAGGGGGTGTGTGTGTGTGTGTGTGTGTTCATATCCGTAGAGAACTGGTTGTTCTCTCTGATAGAAGCAGGAGGGATCAGAGGGAGGAGGATGGAGCGCCTGGGACAGAGCCAAGGAGAGGGGGGGGNGTGTGTGTAGTAATTAGTAATCAGCAGCGAACCGCCTCAGCACGTGTATTTCGGTTTATTCACGGCATTCATTATTCTACAGTATTGTTGTTTTATTAGTTATTTGTTAATGTATAGAACCCAATTTGTGTTCTTTGAAATTGAACAGGATATTGCATTGTGTCACTTTCGTTGCAGTTGTATAAGTCTTAAGTGTAATTTGGCTTGGCTTCCTATTTTGTATGGACATGCTTTTATTTTGAAGGAGAGTTAGCGCTGTTGACAGGAAGTTGTTGTTGCTATGGAAACAACGTGACGGAGATTAACGGAGAAAACTCATATCTACATATAAAGACGGAGAAAGTAAACAATAACGTTTATGGTTAAGTGTTAGCACCCCCCGAAGAGAAACAAGCTCTTACGTTGATATTGGAGATTTCAATAAATTCAATGCGGCTGCCAAAAAAAAAGAAAAAGAAAAAGAAAAAGAAAAGAATATCTGAATAACGAAATTGAAACCCGAATAGTACTCCGACGAACGAATATTCAGGTACAGCCCTAGTATGTAGCAATTGCTTTTCTGGCTGTACAGACGAGTCGTAGGTTTATTGTGATGTGTTAGTCTGGGGGGAAAAGTCTTAAATAAGGACACTGAGTTTAAACGTTTTCAGCACACTTATACGAACACTGACTTGCCGAGAAGATACTGATAATGCAAACTTTAAAAGTAGAGCCATACATGGAAGGATAAAAAAAGATTTGGAGGAGGGATGTAAGAAAGTAACATTTTTGCAAAGTTTACTATCATATGGCAATCAAACAAGAGAGGGATATGTTGAAGCTTATTTCTTGTGGGCCATGTTTTAAGCAGATACACTTCCCTCTGTATGTTTGATTGGTTCATGATTAGTATGAATACACATATAGAATATAAAGTACATGTACACAGAAAATACTAACAGCAATGGTTGATTTGCAGTGATGATCGATGGGCACTGGGTAATTCCTTTTGTTAAGTGTCAAAAACCATGACTACTGATAAACCTAATAACCATACAGTTTATTTTGTAAAATACTCATAAATAAGGCAGCAGTGCCAGTGTATTGTTTGCATGTTATTTATTGTAATGACTATTGCAAGTTGTCTAATGCATCCTTCTTGTCCTCAAAGGTTTTTCACCTAAAAGACCCATTCAGGAACTAAATGGAAATGTGTTGTCAGGTAAACTACTGAAATAAAAGAATGAAAAAGTAACAGTTGCTGTGTCATTGGAGTGGAATCCAGTTAAAAGGTCCAGTAGATGTTTCAAGTCCCTTTTCAAGAGGGTAAACTGCACCAAACACGGAGAAGACTTGACAGTGACCTATTAAGAGAAGCTTAAGACTGAGATGTGCCATAACTGTGTGTGAAATGTCAAAAGAACAGTGTGCCCACCTTGTCTGGCCTCCTCCTCTAGCAGGTCCGTGTGCAGGGCCAGGTACCTCTCCTCATCGCACAGCGCCTCGATCCTGGCCTCCTCCTCCGACAGCTGGTAGGACGTATTCCATGACCCGCTGTCATACTCTGAAAGGTCGTGTAAATGACCACGCCCATCGTATCTGTTGGGTGATAAACGGGATTAGAGAGGGAAGTCTACAAAGCCTTTTTGTACACAATATGGACCTACTTACCAAGAAAAAGAGACCTATAACCCACAATTTACATCAAAAATACTCTAAATACCTCTGTAAGTCTGTAATGAAAGTATACTTAATATTTAAAAGGAAAGAATTACAGACAACAATAATGCACCAATTAAGTCCTTGGGCTTAATTGTAGATAGTGCTCTTAAGATACCTAGCAAGCTTTTTGCTGCTATTTCCTTCTTGGACAAGTCTTACAAACCAACATCCCTACTTGAAAAGGAAAAACAAAAAGAGAAACAAACAAAGCAACTCGAGTCTTACCTCACAGGGTTCAATTCCCCCCTGTAACACTCATCATTACTTCTACATCTGCAAAGAGAGTTACATTCACACAAACCCGAGGCACATAAATACCTATCCGTAAGAACCCAAATGGACGACATTTTCCAGGGTTCGTCCCTCTACGCCACTTCTCAGTTGCAGTTTCTTCATGAAGACAAAGAAATGGGGTGCTGAAGTTGGCTTTCGGGGTTTGGCAGGACCCCTTAGCTTAGCTTGCTGGGGAAAAAACTGGGTTATGTGATAAAGACACACATACAAAGGCTGTACAAATGAAACACAAGTTGGGCCACTGCAGATCGAGGTGATTCAAAGAATAAATGCACTAATGTAATACTTGTGCTGCATGGAGGTGGCAATAAAACATTGGTACATTGCCTGAAGCAACACTTGGTAGGCTGTAAGCACTTTTAAACCTTTTGTTGGATAGTTAAACCCCAATGTTTCACATAGGCATTGTGATATTTTGAATCACCTTAACTGCTGCAACTTTAGTCTTGGTTAGAATTTGCTCTGGCCTTGAGGATATAAGCAACGCATAATAAAGACCCAGGTTGTGTGTTTTGTGTACAGATAGGCATTTTCTGCAAAACTCAATTTAAAAAAGGACAGAACAAAAAGTAACATCCTTTGTTTTATACTCCATATTGATACATATCATGTATGCCTGAAGTTAAAGTTTCCAAAGGAAATTCTCCCAAACATGTCAAAATGCAAAGTCCTGCTGAAAGCTAACAATTGTGTCTCTTTGGGTTATGAGATTTAAAGATCTCTGTTTTTGTATCAAAAATACACACTATTGCTGGTTTAGGAGCTACACAGCCCAAACTAATGCAAGTAAATAGCTCTGCAGAAACTTTATTAAGTGTACAATGTTATCTTTATGTTCAGACTGTACTGGTAGCTAAGCCTTGTTTGTATACATTTTATATTAAACTGCATTTTATATTAAACTGCATTAGTTTTAGCTGGTGTGACTAATACATTGGGCAACTGGTTGTGTATTATTAGTTCAGCATCACAGCTAATTTTAGCCAAGTATGGCAGGGATTTGCATCTTCACATGTTATTGTAGTGACTTCAGATATCATTTGTATCAGTTCATGACATCCTATAACAAAGTAGCAAGCAGGAAGTAAAACATTAGTCGCCAGTTGCAGGTATTTCCAGCTTCTGCAAGGCAAACTCCAAGAGGTCCCTTGAATTGTGAAACAGGCTAACGGACAGCATAGATGGTTAGCATAATGTTTCGGTCTAAGTTTATTCAACCGACCTATCAATCATGATGTTCTTGTCCCCCATCCATGGAATAAGATGTTTTCCATGTTCGTGGTAAAGAGCCCTTTCGTCGTCTGGAAACAGTTTGCAGGCATAGCCGAACACCAAGAGGTCGGCGTATTTATCACTGTCACTAACGTCCTTCTTCTTCACTGGTTTGTTGTTGTGGTCCTTCTTTGCCGCTCCGCGACGATGCATCTCCCGGTTTCTCGTGAAAACGAATTAACTAGGTGGGTAAAACAACAATAACAGTAAAGTGCTGAATTTAAGTGAACCAAATAGCTTTCACGTAGTCCAAATGCTACGATAATCCGTGATGTTATATCCCAAAACAAATTCTACGTGCCGACATCCGCCATGTTGGAAACAAGTACATGCAGCTGCGTATCCTGTCCGCACTTACGACAATTTTACCATGATAAATAATATTACAATTTACAAAAACCTTTATCTGTTACATTTCTTTCAGTCTACAGTTTTTATTTAAAAGTAAAAATCATACATATGAGTGGATATTTAGGACAGTAGTGTAGTGTTTGGTTTCTGTCGAATGTGCTGATAAACATGCTCCTATACACTGCTGCTTCAGGGGAACTCTACTATGAACTGAACTAATGAAGTAACTAAATGAGTGAGTGTTATGTCAAATTAAACATATTATCTGTTGTGTTACATAAATATAAAGCATCAGGTTTGACTGCAGGGCTTGTGACCCCTAAAGTTGGCACAGAGATACATTTTAAAAGATAAGATTCAAGGAAAAATATATTGGATTTTTAAATATACAAAAGGCAGTAAAGACATTTCAGATCTGCATTTAATACAGATCGTGTTTATAACTATGGCATAGCATAAATGCCTATGTCGCCTATATTTGTGGGAACCCCAATAGGTTATACTTGTAATAGGCAAGTAGTGTTCTGGGCTCAATAAGACTCAACTTAATTGGCGGTCTTGAACATGTTGATGCCTTTGCTACGAAGCCATGAATTTAGGTTATTTAGGTTCGATCATAAAGGGTACCCAGGTTGTTTCAGACTTTGGGAGGTGACATATGGGTGATAGAGAGGTGATGGTGCAGTAAAGAAGAGCTAATCAGTGAGTTCAATTGACTGGTACCTTTTCTGATTATTAAAGAGCAGAGGAAAACTTGGGAAGAAATGCAAAATGTAATTATCTAGACGAGAGAAGCCGGGTGCATTGAAAATTACTGACCATAAAAGCAGCTGGCAAGTAAACATGTATATATTTTTTTCATCGTAACAGACATCTAAACAAAGTTTTGGTCTCTGGATTGTAATTCATTTGTGTCCCTACATTTGAATAAACTATTAACTTTACTTTCCAGTTGTATTTTTAGACAGGTAAACATGGTGCAAAACATTTCAAGCCTTGCCAGTTCTATGCATGTCCCTTTTAAGCATGCAACTGTACCAATAATCTCCAACACAAAAACCTGGCAGGACAGATGGTGGAATTGAAGCAGTCACTGTCTATTGTTATCTCTGATGAATGCAATGTAGCCAAAATATTTTTGGAATGATTAGCACTTTGGAGAAAGCTTGTCCAAACCTGTTCTCAATCTGAAAATGATTTCAAATTATAAACTTGAGTTGTTCCCTATTTCGAAAAATATAATCTGACAATAATGTAATGTTTTCATTTGAGTCTTTTTATCTGTCATTAAGAGTATGGGGAAAACGACTGTCCACATTTTCTTGAAATTGAAGAATGTATTCACCAAGAAAGAACCTACTTGTTGGAGTATTCCCAGTCACTGGGTGGATATATCAATTATGTTGCATTCATGGTGGTGTCAGAATATCCTGATAAATTCCCAGACAGGGCAATTCCTGTTCACTGAAATCCTAACTAAAAACTTGTACCAGATATAAAGGTGTTGTTTAAATGCTCAGATCGATAAAATACAGCACATCTTCTTTTTAGGGTCAATTTGTTTCCACAGTAGAAGTTGAAGCTCATAGACAGTTAGAAAAATCACTTCCAACTAGCGAAGTAGGACCATCAGAGGAGCTTGTGAATGCACCAAATAGGGCTTGGTGCCATTTCAGTTGATTCTAAAAGCTCCTGACCTACACAGCCAAAGGAGCGGAGGATTTGAATAAGTGCTCACATTAATAACAATCACATTTAATAGAGGTAGAGTGTAGGAAAGTACTGCATGCATATTACATACATTTCCCAAGCACTCAAGAAACATTGTCATTGAGTGAGAGTTGAGTAAATTATTATCATAATAAAAATGTAAATTCAATAATATGATTCTTAAATCCTGTCACTGCAAACACAAGCACGAAAAAAAGCTTTAATTGACTATTGATTTGTCTCTCTCTCCAACACTCTCCATTCTGCTCTGTTGTCTAAGCGACTGTGAGGCTTACTCACACTCAAGGTGAACTCAAATCAGTTGTCTTGACTGAGTGGAAATTCCGCTTACCTTGTAGTCTGTTGTGAGTATGCAGCAGCATGCTAAGCACAACACATGTTAAAGTTAAGCAATGGCAGCTCCTTTGAGAGTGCAATTTGTTTTCGTTACGCTTCAAAAAGCATTTCAGACACAAGGAAGACACTCGTTCTACTAGATTGTGCACTTTCCTTGTCCAGGTCATCACCCCGCATCACATTTACACAGTCGGTGTGTGTATAAATAATGAAAACGGCGGGATAGAAAGCAGTTTTATGTATTTTTCTCGTGTTTAGAGAACCACTTTAGTACAGAAAGTGGTGATATCAATGACAGCATCGCCAAATTACCGGCATTACAGCAGTTGAAAAACAATTTCAGGTGTCAGCTACTGTCGAGGTGAAATAGAGAATTACACCTTCTATTTCAATAGACAGAGCTCAAGAAGACCTTAGATTTGACCTGTGTGAAATTAGTTTTAATACAAACATTAAAGACATCCAAAGCCAATTATATTGAATTCAAGGTTCAAGGCTTTTATTAATCATACGTACATAGCTACAGTGTAGTTATGACGATGAAAATCTTAGGTCACAGGCTCCTCGAACAGTGCAACACAATAAAATGATAAAAGGTCAAAGTTTCCAAACATTTGGTTGCCTTCATGTCAAACCGGTGGATAAATAATGACTTCATAAGATAGAGCATTGTATGTGTGTGTGAGAGATTAATATACTATAATTAGTGTTTTTATGCATGCACATAAACAATAGTTCTATTTAATGTCAGAATATTCATCACATAAAAACTGACTAAGCCTAATAAAGTAGCCTGTTCAGCTGAGCTGGTACTGCACAAAGGAGATAGAGAAGATTGGCTTTCCCCTGCCACACAGCTTTCATCTCTACTCTGAATCCATGGACAAATTATAACAAAACACTGTTTGGTGTTGTAAATAATACAGAGTAACACACTCCTAAAAGCAGAGGGTGAAACAAGTAGGACAAAGAGCAAGAGAGACACAGAACAGCAAACATTTTCAGACAATGGTTTGTGCTTCAGTGGAAAGAGTTGTTTTGTATGTTGGAAGTATTCCTGTATAACTACAACATATGGCATGCAATTAAAGATGACCAACATGAGTGAATGGCTTGAGAATGGCATGAAGGAGATGAAGGGAGATTTGGACAGAGGAAGCAGAGAGAATGAGTTGGCAAGCAGGCAGGCATGTGAATAGGATTTCTGGAGCACAAAGAAACCAACATGCATTAAATTAGGTGACAAATATATTTCTCACTGAAATCCGGACTTGAGCATAGCTATAAGACTGGAACGATGGGGCTCCCCAGTGGATTCCTTAACTGCCTGACTTCAACCTGTGGCCCTGCTTCCCAGCTCTTGCTCTCTCCCACTATCTTCTGCTGTACTATCCAATAGATGCAACAATATATATATTTATTTTTAAAGGAAGAGGGAATGGTCCAAAATATACCAATGAGTGTAAAGCCTTAGCTGATATACTGTGCGTTGATAAGCTAATTGTAGACAGGTGTGTGGTGGTGAGCCAGGACCGGTTGTGAGCTGATTGCAAGCAGGTGTGTTAGTAGGCGGCCCCATGTTAGCGGCAAGACAGGAATAAGACACACACACACACACACACAGACGGGGACATGAAAAGACACAAATGTATTGGGGAACAAAGGGAAACAGGCTTGAAAAAAAATGGGAGTCCTCGATAAAGGACTGATCAAAGACAGGTTTTCTTCACCTAAATAAAAAAAACACAGTTGTTTGATTAAAGGACCTCTGCAGTGAATGTGAACATGTAGTTTTCAATGATTTATGACATTGTTTGCCTTCCACACCCATTAGGATATTTTTTAATTTAGTTATCTATTTGGCAAGGACAGTGCACATTAATGCAGTAAATGCATTAACCAGCATTTTTTAATATCTGTAATAAAAACTTTTGTAAAAAGAAAAGACATGGGTGAAAAAGCAGATCCATTGCTCTGACTATTAATATAATTGCTCAGATGTTACAGTATATGAACTGAGTGAAGGATTTAGAGAAAATGTCCTTACTTCTTAAAGAATATATCCAAACAATATTATTGATGTCTAATTTTACAACCTGAGAACCCAGTAATCAGCTTTTAGAATTAGGGCCTGAGACTGCAGCAACAACATGACATATCTTTATTTTTAAATGCTTTGAGTCTATTCTTTAATCTTGCCGAGTAGTGCTCCACTGGGGGATTTAAGTGTCATATTAGATAGATTTGTGTCTGTGGAGAATAATGTAAATCTTCTTATTCTCCACAATGAAATATATAACCGACTGCGTGACAGTGTGAATGAAGAATGCAAATCCCTCCACATTTAGACACTTTGTATTTTCTGGTTATGCTTGGCACATCATGTCAGAATTCACTAGGGTGATGGGAAAGACAAATCTACAGCAAAGCGCATCCAGCGGCATATGGAACAAACCGACTGAGCACGCATTGTTTAACTATGATTCTAGCCGACTGCTTAGAAGCTCGGTCTGCTCATCTCTGTCTTTAACAACCAGATGTTAGACAAAGCTGTTAGAAATGACCCTTTGACTCCTGAAAACCTGCTTCATGCAGTATCACTTCCAGTAGGCACCAAACATGCCTCTTCGCTTCAGCGGTTGTGCAATCAATCCATGCGGTACCTTTCTCTGAGTGACAGCTTTCACAAGACATGAGGTAGCAAATAGAATTGTCTTGGTGCTGCACCTGTCAGTTTTATTTAGGATCAAGACAAATTGGATTGTACTCAGTAGGGAATTTGAAGCTGAAAGGCATCCCCCTTGTTAGACAAATGACCAAAATGTAAGCCCCATGGTAACCTGCAATCCCACTATCAGCAGGGTGATTGCAGGGGCGTACATGTTGCTAAGATCA